AAAAACGATTTTGTAGGGAAAGTATCAAGCTTTCACGATAGGTAATCGAAAATTTTCTCAAATTCGTTTTGGACACGTTACAAATCCACAAAGTGAGAAGAAAATTTTTCGTCTTTTTCAGCTCGTAGTTTTTGGTATGTAAAAATTATCAAACTCATATAAACTTAAAAAATGTGATAAGCTTTTAAAAGTAGAGATTTCAAGCTTTAAAACCCTTTTTTTAAATTTGAATTTCATTCATTATTGACGAAGATATTGTATATACAACTTTGAGCTAAAAAATACGCGATGACTTTTTACTCAACCTAATATAATGTAATAATTTTAATAATCATTGGGCTATTCATTACGCAGCTAATTTGGCATTTGGATAAAGAAGAACGAACTAATTGTTGGGTATCATCAACTTGAAATGCGCGTTAATTATGCAATTTCGATTTATATTTTATATTGAAGGACCCGAATTGAAGGGTTGAAACATATATTTTATTTGTTTCGTTACATTCACACGAAAAATATAGAATTTTTCACTGATAGATTCTTTCGAGCCTCATTATATATATTTGTTCAAAGACGAATATGATGGAAAAAAATGTATAATCGTTTTCAGGAATTATAATTCATCAAGGATAAATGCGGTTTAAGTTAGGGCATGGAATATGATCATTAGAATCCTGAAAAATCGTCTACCAAGCCTGTAGTAAATGACCGGAAGTAAGCTTGCCGTAATCACTTTTACCATTATTCTTCTTCAAACAATATGCTTTATGGCAGACTGTTCATTCTGAACTACCTATCTCAGCAAATGCGACATATCTTTTTATAACGACAATCTGTCTTGGTTTATAGATTACAAGATTTTACAAAAATCATTTTAATATTTACATTCAGTCGAGTTGCATGACGTATTTACACTTTGATACTTACTACACTGTACTACATACATATTCCTTTTACTACTTTCAAGACTTTACTAATAACGACAACAAATTAAATGTTATTTAGAAATTTTCCCATTTCCATTCTTACGTTTCGAAAGCACGCAAACGATTTCACCGATTTCCTTAAATAACTTTAAGTATAAGTGTGTGACACGCAGGTGTCGTAAATTGCTAATTAAATTGACCCAAATCCTCCAGCCTTGTCTAATGTTGATGTACGCGAATGGCGCTAGTCATTTATATATTTTTTCCATTATTCATATCGCTTCTCCGATTATCTTGTGCCATGAATCGTCACGCTGGCGAGCGGAACGTCAAATGCAGTAAAGAAAAAAAAAAAAAGAAAAATGAAAGAACGGGACGGGCAGTATGCTTCGCAAGCCACTTATCTATACCGTCGATCGCGACATCCCGGTAATGCCGATTATCGCGATAATAATTAAGCGTAATTGGGACGCAGCCAGGCACGCGACCATCGTCGTTCTCGAGCAGATGCGTTCCGCCTTTCCCGAGAGAAGCACATTGCGATCATCAAATGTCGTCCTTGCATTCTTCTCCAGGTGAGAGAGAGCCGCTGCAGGTGCGCGAACACATGCTAATCCCGAGTGCAAAAAAAAAAGACCCAGTTATTACAAGGAGGCGAAACAACAATGCGGAACTAAACTCGGATATTTCGAGATAGCTTATCAGGATTCACGATAAGATCGAAACAAATTGAGCTTAATGAAATTATCTGAAACGATCATCAATCTATCGAGCGCTTAGATTCGTCGACGATGCGGAGAAATCATTAACGATACGACCACGAAAGGTGATATAGTTTAAGTTGCGAATAACATAGCGATTGATTGAACGCTGTAATCTTTAAAATTTTAATTGCAAACAAGATACGCTTTTGTCATAGACGTGACACAAATTAGAAGATCAGAAAAATTGGGCCTATTTAAATTGTTGCATATTAAAAACGTATAAAGAAGCGCGAGAGTATGAATGAGATACTTTAAACGTATTCTGGAAAATATATCATGCGTACACGATTTTGTTTGCAATTCAATTAACATGCACACGAGTGCAAAAAACACCGTATAGTAACGATTAATCTAGAAATAATTTCAAGCAACATCTATCACATTTTAATAATCTAATTTATCAAATAATATTAACTTAAATTATCATATGTATCAATAATTAAATAATATATATTACATATTCAATAATTAAATAATAAAAATAATATTCTGCACGTGTTTGAACTTCATTTCGGAAAATAATAAAATGTAGTATATAATTCAATTCGTCGAAACTTGCGAAACAAAATTTACAAACAGAAATCGGACACGAAATACTAGGATAGTGTCGTAAATTAAATTGAGTATTAAAACGTTTTTCTATTTTAATTAATTTTAGAGTGGAGTTAATATAGTTAAATTCTAATAAGAAGGAAGCAATATAAAAGTTGACAATTTTAAATATTCAATAGTAGAATCAATGTTTATGTCGCACGAGTTATCGTGAAGAGAGTTTCTCCTCGTGTAGATATCCCTTTGAAAGATTCGATAGACATTAATTTCGTTCGCAAATCCTAGAAAGAAATTTATTGCCGGGCAGAGTCCATAAGACATCCTAAATTAATTGTCTCGAAAACATGAATCGATATTCCTTGATCTTTGCTACAAACGAGGGCTCGACCACGCTCTCGAGAGACGATTCAAAAGATGCACGACTCACACTACGCGATAGTGATAATTAGTTCAATTTCTACAACTACAGACCCGTTCATCTTCGAGTACTCCCGAGTACTCCCGAGTACTTCACGAGTCGAGCGTAATTAAGCATTGGCGACCACACACTTAGAGAGTGACGTACACATTTTCTCTTCCATCTTTGTTTCTCTAAACTTGATCCCCTCTCTCTCTCTCTCTCTCTCTCTCTCTCTCCTTTTTTTAACCTCCCATATTAACTTCCCCTCTAAATGCCTAAGCAATAAGTCACAAACCCAGTTGTACTCCACTCGGCGCACATGCGAGGCTGAGATCATCGACACTTATGGTTATAATACTTTCCCCCGTCGATGCCTTATCTCTCTCGTCTCGCCATTTCCTTTCTTCTCTTTTCTTTGCGACTTCTTCGTCTTTTATGCCTCTGCAATTTTTTTCTGCCCGTATTTACGTCGCGTATACTTCTCGTTCGCAACTTCGGCAAAAACGCGTAACGTTGTTCTCGCCGATTACTTGTCGAGAGCTACAAAGAACGTACTGTATAAAGAAAGATTCACCGTGTTCCCGGATAAGTCGATGACGTCTTAAATCAGTGGCAGTGGAAAGTACGACGTAGTAAAAAGAAGCGGAAAGTGTATTAAAGTCAAGAGTATTATACATAGTTGTTACTTCTCGCGAAATTGATTTGCAAGTCTTTACCTTTCGATAGCATATATTTTAACACAATATCTATCCGACACATATGTTATAAAACAATATTAGATACGTTTTCATTTTTTCATTTTATTCGTATTCTACAATATTAAATTTGTATTTTTCTTTCATTTATTTGTGTGGAATTTGAAAACAATCTTGAAGTTACTATTTAGAATTTCAACTTCTATATTAATGTCTATATACAATGTGCGATATATACAAATATATAAATATATAATATAAAATGTGTGATATTTATAAAAAATAGATGTCACATAATAAAGAACTATCGTCAAAATATAAATAATTATCAAATTCATAATTATTTTTAAATTATTAATAAAAAAAGTGTCAAATGTGTATACTGAAATTCTTTGTAAATCATAAATATATATATCATGTATTTAACATTTTTCATTATAAATTTAATTATCTGCACATTATCGATGTATGTTCTTATTTTAAAAACTACATGTAAGCATTACATGCTCCTCATAATTCGTGAATGTGTGATATCTATAAAATAGATGTCACATAATAAAGAACTATCGTCAAAATATAAATAATTATCAAATTCATAATTAGTTTTAAATTATTAGTAAAAAAAATGTCAAATGTACATTCTGAAATTCTTTGTAAATCATAAATATATATATATATATATCATATATTTAGCATTTTTTATTATAAATTTAATTATCTGCACATTATCGATGTTCTTATTTTAAAAACTACATGTAAGCATTACATGCTCCTCATAGTTCGTGAACCGGGAGCATCGGTTGTTACGACAGACTCAATTCATTATTCGTGCATCTGCTTCCTCGCGATAACGCACGAAGAGGCGTGGATCAGATGCGATACACTCGCTCGTATGCGTATATTCCCGCGAGATATAAAAGTATCAGGTCTCGAATAAAACCGTGTCGACGCGAGAAATGCAGCTGTGAAGCAGGAGCTTTGAGAATTCATTCTAAACACGCGATTTCGCAGTGGCTTCTTTGCCGTATCGAAGCCACAATAAAGCTCTCGCGAATAAGCCCCCCCCCCCCCACACACACACACACACACACAAACACACACACACACACACACACACACCCAAATAATCCCCCAAAGTTTCAAATATAAGCATCATAAAATCCCGATCTCACAAAAGCACCTGATATAAAAAGTTGAAATCTAAAAACATTTAACTTTTTTATACAATTAAGTATCTTTAATAATAACCCTTTTTTTGGTTTTATAAAAAAGAAAGATTAAGCAAGGATCGAGTTTAATCTTTTCATAGACTCAAATGATCTCACATTTGCCAATTTCAACAATAATTTAAGACTGTCAAACTGGCTGCAGAAGTGCGTTACCCTCTTCGAAATAGAATGCATTATATCGCTATTTCAGTTCTGTTCCAACGTATAATAGGAAGTGCGAAAATAAACAGCGGATTTAATTGATTTTCTGTCTGTATTATCGCCGCGCAATAATACTCGGTTTCACCAAGGGAACGCGCAAAAATAATATTTCCTACCACGGTGATATAAAGCGCAATACAAGCAATTGTGGTAATGCATTTCCATGGCTATTCCATGAAAGCTATTGTTCGTCATAGATGCGCTTGTTTCGAATAAAATGAAAAAGAAATAGAGGCGTATACTTCCTGGAAGATAGATATTCCATTGTCGTTTGCGCTTTGTAAAAATCCTCTCCTTAAACTCACCTGAAACAGAAAAGAAAGGGATAGATCAGTATTACGTTCCAAGTGTCAAAGCATCAAATTGTTACTAATTAATTAAACCACCGTACAAACATATGGTCAGAAATTTTTCGGAGCCATTAATTACAAAATTTAAAAAGATCATCGATTATTACTCCTCGTTATAAATTTCACGTTCTTTGAATAAATAAATCATTATTCGTATTTAATATTAAATATTTCCAACATATACATACAACGGAGTTTAATGTGATTTGAATAAAAATCCATTTTAGATGTTCCTGATATCCTCATTACTCACATACAAAATTATTCACGAATACAATCTACGATGTAATAATTGTACATCAAAATTATAGTCATTTCCAAAAATTTCTTTCCTATGTTACGCATTTTATTTGCAATGGCACATTTAAAAATGTAATCATTTCTCAGAGAAGTGTATTAACAACGTTTGATCAAACAGGACCTTCAGCCCAAGAGTGTATCAATTACTAATTGAATACCACGAGATATGTTTCATTGGCGCCCATCTTTATTACCTACATTATTTGTTAGCTCGTTCAAGGCACTATTGTGGTAACGATGGTGTCGTTTCTCGGGCGAAAAAAAGAGGCCATTCAGCCTCTGTGATCACACTCGAGACGAAACCAAGTGTTAGACTGTTGGAGCGAAAGACAATGATAAATGAGAAGCTGACAAGACATACGGCGTGTCAAAAAAATGTTGATTCCTCGAGAAAGCGAGAGTGGCCCGAAAACGTCGCGAGTGGTGGGAATTTGGTCTGCGATACATCTCGAAAGGTTTTTATTTCAGGGTTTTTTATTCAGAATTTTCAGTCGCTTACTCGTTTTTCAAGGGGGCTTCACCCCGTTTATCGAATATTAACGCACTTCTTACGCATGGATAAAAATATGTTTCTTGCTAATAAATAAAAATAAATATCGGGCAAAGTAAGAGTCAACACATTCCTTTCAAATACACAAAAATATATATTACAATTAACAGAGATAAAAAAAATTACATAACGCAAAAAATTAGAATATGAATTGAAAAATGATTAAGGTTACAAGTTTCGGCTACCGGTTTGAGCCCTCTTCAGACATTGGCATAACGAAAAAGTCGCAGAATAAAATCAAATTATCGCAAATGATCGCATATTCAGAATATTCGCAGTTCGGGTGAGTCTTGATCTCGAATTCAACATAATTTCCGTACGATTGAACCGTCAAATGTATTAAAAATATCTTGGTAAAGTTCTAGTGTTGATAAAAAAGATAAATTAAAAAAAAAACGTACCACAAAAATCTACGCATAAATAAAATAAAATACCGGAAATCTAAACAAAAAAAAGTAATAAAATTATGTAATAAAAACTCACCAGAATTCATGTGTAAGAGATTTAACTTAGTATGTCCAAAAAGGAATTAAAAAACTTTTGAAATATATACAATAAGAAGAAGCGCAGATATGTACGACAGACATTACGTGTCGATTATTATGTACGTTCAGTAGTGCGGATCAACACAAACTGAGAGAGGACTTTCTTGCTATTATATTATTCGTCGAAAATATATGTTTCAGAGAAGAGGAAATAGTAAATTGCAAGTTATAATAGCTGTGTTAAACAATCATAATGTAATTCTTGATCTACTTTGTTACATAGATATTAATACTTATGTACTTGATGCTTATTTTGTGTAATTGACAAAATAAAATACGAATTTTTTCGCCACTGATACACAAATAATTTGGAGTACGCATATTTTGTGTTACACATAATATACCGAATTTTGCCGAAGTACCGTAAAGTTTGATAGAAGCTCAGTACATTGAAAGAAAAGATTAGCTGCCGCAACAATTTAGATGGTTAAACACGGTATTAGTATTTTTAATTCGCCGTAATCGGCAGCCAATTTTTGGTTGCGTTAGCCCAAAAATAGTCGAAAAATGCTAATGCCGTATTCAGACAACAAACTTTTCTTTCAGTGCAGTTATTTCGGATAGTTATTGTTAGCCTAAAGCGTTAAACGTGCGCATTTAGACAATCTTAGCCACACACATGGCTAAGAGAATTCCCTGAGACAGCAGGATAGCCCCTATTTCCAAGTTGATTCAGAGAGACAGCTTTCAGCCCGACGCCGCTTTAATTATGTATTTTGCCACGGAGGGAGAAACAGCATTTCAAGAGTTACGGTCGCACCATGCGTGATTCATCGCTCATTTCGTCCACCGTTGTATACGCCGCCATTTATTCGTCGGACTGGGTAATGCATGCAAGTGCACGCTCTATTTCTTATCGTCTCGTTTTCTATCGCATGACGCACGCATAAGGGATATGCCTGCCTCCGAAGAGGAGCGGAACCGGTATACAAGTAAGGAGAAAGGCATTTGACCGTAAGCTCCTGGAACAGCAAATAATATCGATATAAGGCACTTGATTATCGCCACCGTTACTTTTATTGCTGACCTTGTTGGCAGTACGTGATGAATATTCTTAGCTTATTAATATATATATATATATATATATATATTAATAAGCTAAGAATATATATGTGTACGCACATGATTTTTTTTCGCATGAAATAACAATTTATTATTATCGTCATATTCGTGCTCGTGTCAATTCACGAAATATTCAGTCTCTATCTGTAACGGTGATATTACTCTGCAATGGAATATTTTTTACAGCGAATTTTTTTACAGGAATTTCTTTCACTTTTCAACTGCCACAAATAAGCCCCATAAATGGATCTTTTCAGAATAATTCTGCCAGAAAATTCTGATAACATTTGTACAATAGATTTTTATAATTAATTTTTAATTACAAGTTTTTGTCTGTTGTTAGACAAATAAATGCAAAATATGTACAATTAACATAAAAATGTGTAACTTATTTATTCGAGGCGAATCGTTAGTCCCTCTTAGAAATATTACTTTATAACTACTTTTAAAGACTTAACTTTTATTTATTATTAAAAAATTAATATAAATTTCAATAACAAGAGGTAGAATATATTACAAGAACTGTTATAACTGTTTCATTATTATAATTACGATTAAAAAAAAAAACCATATCGATATAATTAAGGATAAATGGCGTTGTATTATATTTACGCATTGATATGTTTATTTGCTATTTTAATATAATTTTTAACCTGATAAACACGCTGTTATGCAGAATATTTTTGGGATTAACTGCTCGCTTTACTTTGAAACTTGGAAACGTTTGGAACATTAGTATAGGAATCGCAAGAATGAAAAAATTATAATTATCAGTAAATGTTCATAAATAATAAATCACTTTGCTTCGTCACAGATTTTTCAATATCATGATGCGACGTCATAAACGAAGAAATTTAATTCGTGACGTCTCTCATGTCTAGTCACTTAATCGTGAATGTGTCGCAAAACATCGCAGCAATCTCGTTACGCGACCGTGAAGAATCTAAGAATCTAAGTTAACAGCCAGTTAATTAGATTCGTAATTAATAGAAGCACGCAAGCTCGCTAACGGATAGAGCGAGACTGCAAAAATTTTTAAATGCGACTTTTCCCAGCTGAACGCATCGCCGAACCTTTCGCGAGGGAAACCTGATATAATTTAATAACGCTAGTCTCGCTGTATATACGTGTATTATTCTGCTTTTGCCGGATGTCCCACTTCTGTTGCTACTGTTGTACTTTTGCACGTTGCATTCGCCGAGCGAAGCTTCATTCACGGACGCACGAGTCATGCATAATTTTTAACATAATCTTTTCCTTAATCGAAGATATTAAGATTACATGCAGAGATGACACACAATACGAACGCAGTTTCCGTGATGTAAAAGTACAAGAATAAACGTGCTATTTTTAAGTGTAACGTTACTTTTTGTTTTTTTTTTGTTTTTTTTTTTTACTTTTAAGTATTAGCTTTATGAACGTTATTAATAGGATTTATCATCAAGAGTAATTTAAATTGCAAAGAAGACTACAGCTTACAACACGCGTATGATTCCTTACTATTTCCTGTTAGAAAACAGAGGCGAATATCTTTCTTTCTTTTATCGTCAATGAGTACAATAGTTTCTTTGAAAACTGCTTATTGACGATAAATCTTCCCCGAGATGTTCGTGAGGGTACGAAGGAAAAATATTGGCTTTGGGGCGAGAACTCCGAAAATTGCGTTAGGGGAAGAACTTTAAGTAAGTCTCCAAAAGCTTGATATAATGCTTGATGGCAAGGATATAGATAAAGAAAGTTTATCTTTGCAGAAACGCAGATATATGGCATAAGTGATATAAATCGAAAACTTAATTATCGCATTTTCTTACCTGCATGTTTTAATGAAATTAATGAAGTAGACCGAAAAAGTACGTAAACACAAATAAGAGAGAAGAATGTCATTAATTCTTCGGATTTTTAGTCAAAGCGAGTCTTGGTGTAACAAAGTACTTACAAAGATACTTTGTTAGTAAAGTTTATGTAAATATACAAATACAATTGTCAGATTAAGTTACCACTATTCCTACCTAACAGTGCATCTGGGTATTCAAATATGATTGTCTCTTAATCATTACTTCAAATATGCCAATTTTCATTAATAAAAGTGGAAATTGTTATCTGCTCTTAAACCTATTAACATAAAATGAACTGATACACGGGGAGAATTTTTCATTACATTTACCGCAAAATTCACTAGGAATTTTACCATGTTTAGTGATAAATGTGAGACAATTTGATAATGTGTTAAATATCATTGTAATGATAGGAATTTCTGAAATATATACAAAAGGTATTTTATTATTATTTATTGAATTACGTAATAAAATTTTTATCAAGCAAATTGTAAATTGTTTTAATATAAAATATTTACAATGCACTTCTGTAAAATTTACACATTACATTTTAATAGACAGATCAGCTGTCATTATATTATGATGTTTTAAAATATAACTTCTTGGAACTACAATATTAAGATTCCTGAGCTACTTTTTCATGCAACTAGTGCAACTAAAAACTGTATTGTTAAAGTACATCTCTCAGTTACATTCTTCGTTCAAGTACATTTTTTTAGTAAAGATAAATACGTCATCATAGCTGATCAATTGTCACGCTACTTGATAAAATTATCATAAGCGATCAGGTTGAAAATATGTAAGATTTCTATGAAATATTTTATCATTTGGCATCTATTCTATTTAAAACAATAAAGAAACATAGTTATTATGTTTAACATATTTTTAAATTGTTACAATTTTACTACGCCTTTTAGTAAAGTAAATTAAGCATATTTTATATTTTATTGTGGAAATATTAATATAAATCAGAAAGAATTATAAATATTTTGAAACATTGTGCTATCCCACAATTATCACAATTTCCAGGTAAGTCCCAAGAGAAAATTCTCTTTGTAATTCGCCAAAGTAATTAGTATAATTAAGGAAGTAAAAAAATCATTGAAATATAAAGTAGAAAAAAAATTCGATTAAAGTTCGACATATTAAAATATATTAAAATATATTAAAATATTAAACCTCTATTAATAACGTACATATTTAAAAACACTGTCGTTTTCTTTTTAATATTTATATATTGAAAGAATTTTAATTGCGAGGAGCCTAAATCAGGACGTCGCGATAAGTGTTTTCTAGAAAATCACGGCGTTTCTGACCTAGTAATTAAGTTTCTCTCTAATAAAGTCCCAGCTAGATGACACCGAAGGATCGGTTTCTGGTTTGTGACGGAGAAAAAGGGACAGTCAGGGTCGTTACTCTCGGCGGATGACGAGGCAGGAGTTCACGGGTCTTCGTCGGAGTAAACGTGACTCATCCGTGCGCCCTAAGGAGGGAACTAAGAAACGTAGTGAGGAGGAAAGCAATGTTCTCTATGTCGAAGCTGACTCGAGAGTACATCCGGACGCGAAAGTCGATTCACGCTCTTGGATTGCGGTAAGAACATGATCATGGCAAATCGAGTGTTTCGTTTCGCGTGGTACCCTCGATACTGCGAGAATTACTGTAAACGAAATACACCAGGTGTTTTCAACATCCTGTACGTAATAAGATACACGGATTCTTGATAGATTTATATTTTCCTGTCAGTGAAGCTCTTGTGATAAAATTTATTATTTACATTTAAAAAAAAGAATCTGATTATAGCCACTAAACGTTGAGTGAAATAATTTCAATTACCGAAGGGTAATTCAGGTAATATAAACGTAATTTTACCTTTACAAATATTTAGTGAGTGATACCGTTTGGGAATATTTACTAAATACATGTAAAGGTAAAATTATGTTTAGTTTATTATATTATCTGAACATTTGAAAAATTCAAATTATTTCATTCAATATTTGGTAGCTATAACTCTCTTTTTAGATATACTATTAGATATCAAAGGAGCAGTGCTAATACTTTGAATTAAATAACGTTTTGTTTGATTTCCATGATGTGTGTCAGAATGTAAATCAATCCATTTCCGTAGTTAGTTTCAAAGTAAATAACGTCTGTATTAACACATGTATGCATCTAGCAAATAGCAAACTAAATTTGAATCAAATTTAATACAGTTTCTTAAGTTAAATAATTGTTTAACCCCATTGTTCCAGTTAAATTAACGCTATATTGAATAGAAGTAAGACCATAGAAATAATAAACTTCTGTGTATCAAACTTTGAATAAACAGCTAGTACATAGTTTAAGAGTAATCTTTAATTTGATATGTTTTATCATCACAATATTCGAGATCTAGCCGCACTTTATTAACTTTATAATGCTACATATATTGAAAATCATGAAAATCACGATCAAAGCAATAACGTGATAATAAATCAACTATGCCATGCTATATCTGGGATTCAATAGCATCATCTTTCTAAATAAACTATCAGGAGGGCACGTCGGATCGATTCGGTGAATTATGCAGATGCAACGAGAAAGGGGAGTGGTTGATAGGATGCAGCATCGATAGGATGACGCTCGCACGAACAAGGTGCGACAAAGCTTGAAAAAAGTTTAACTCTAACGGTAGTGAGCCGCAGAATTACAGGGACGTTCATCTAGCCATGACCCATAAAGTAGCTTTTAAAGTGATCGAAAGGGAGATGGAAGGGTGCTGTGTCACAATGGGATACATTTTTGCGGATTAAGGCGCTTTTTATATGCTCATTGTTCACGAATCAGGCCCAGCCGTCTCTGTGTGCGTACACATAGGTGACGAAGGCAATTATGTAGGTCGCGCAACTCTTTTCCGTGAATGAAAATCCCAACAATGGGGGGGGGGGGGATGATCCTTATCGAGTAACGTAATTATGCAAATTAATGCGGAGGCTCATTTCGAGGCGCGAATTTCAGATGGTGTGATTTGAAGCAGACAAAGGTGTAAAACGTCACATTTCTCACATCTTGTGACAATAAGCTTTCCGGAAGTTACAGAAATCGACAGTTGCACTATATTTGTAATGTAATCTTCTTTTTTTAATAATCAATTGAGATTAGATCTTTCATTATTGAAAAAAAATATGTGAAAAAATTCATCATTAAAAAAATTCATTATTAAAAAATTATTGAAATACTTTGTCAAGACTATACTCTTACTTCTGTTGTATTATATTTTAGTTATAATTAAAAATAATAAACGTTCTCTCTCTCTCTCTCTCTCTCTCTCTCTTTCTCTCTCACTCCCTTTTATGTCTACCAATGTTTCAATTTAGCATACTTTTATAATAGAAATCGTTTTTAATCGATGGTTCTCAAATTCTAACCAATTGAAAATATATATAAACTTTTATTTTTTTTTCTGAAATTTATATATTGTTCTGATAATTTCCCTAAGAAATATCTTGTCATTTTCAAAAAGAAGCATCCTTTCAAATGAATGGAGAATACACTTAATAATTAAATTAAATTAAATTGAACATTCATTGATCAGAATCGTTGATAATAATGAAGAAAGCGGTGTTCGGACAAACGACGTGATTATCTTACAAATTGACAAATAATGATATTAATTCTGTCACATTTGGCAGAAATGGAAATTCCATGGTTTTGCCAAGGCGGAAACGCTCGTCTCGTCGCTTCTGCGGTTTGCAATTCTCACGACGAGATGAAACGTCGCGCTGCAACGCTCTCGAATGTGGAAAAGCAAACCGTGCGATAACAACGGTTGGCAAATTCAACCGCAAATTTAATTAACTATCAATGACTATGT